CGTGATCCAACAACATCTTACACAGAGTTTCTGAAGAAGTGTCCAGACCCGAAATGTCAGCTTTCCTGCTCCTCTGATGCTGTCTGGCCTGCTGTGTTCATCCAGCTCTGCACTGTGTTATATCTTACACAAAGTTCAATTCGTGTTGAAGAAAAGGAACAATGATCAGAATAAGTAAAGGTGCCTGATTACATGGGGACATTTTCAGGGATGTATGTATAAAAGCAAATATTTATTACCAAATCTGCACCCATTGATGAAACCAAATATCTCTTGCGACTTGAATGTGCAATGGCGATCTCGTCAGTTGTAATTTTGGGAAGGTGGAATCATATTTCAGAGTCAATACAAGGAGAGGCGATGGCCTCGTGGTGTGATCACTGGACTGTTAATCCAGAGACCCAGATAACATTCTGGGGACCCAGGTTTGAATCCCACCAAGGCAGGTGGTGGAATTTGAATTTAATAAAAATGTCTGGAATTAAGAATCCATGAACCCATTGTCGATTGTCGGGAAAACCCATCTGGTTCACTACTACTTTCGGGAATAAAACTGCCACCCTTTCCTGGTCAGGTCTGCATGTGACTCCAGACCTACAGCAATGTGGTTGACTCATAACTGTCTTCTGGGCAATTAGGGATAGGCAATAAATTCTGGGCAATTAGGGATGGGGGAGGGACGCCCTCATCCTGCCAATGACTAAAGGAAAAAAAAAAGTCACTGCACTGTTGGAAGACAGGACTCCCAGGAAACTCTTTGCTGATAGGGTCTCTCTCTCTGTGGTTGGCAGGACGTAGTCCTCCAAAGGAGGCTGGGACCCAGAAGGGGAACAAGGCCAACATGTGACTCCCTCATCCACTTCACTAGCCCCACCACACCCAGCACCTTTCCCTACCATCGCAGGAGCTGCAACACTTGTCCCTACACCTCCATCCAAGGCCCAAAGCAAACTTTCCATATCTGACAGGGGTTCACCTGTATATCATCCAACCTGGTCGACTGTATCTGTGAACAGGCAAGTGAAGTGAGGGGAAAAGATCAATAGAGACACAGTGACAGACATTTAAGAGGGTATTTGAGAATGCTCGGAGTAAGTGCATTGCTATGAAAAAGGAATATCTCCAAATGGATGATCCACTATCCTTGGTAACGATGTGGCCTCTTCTACATTGGTGAGAAAAAGCACAGACTCAGTGACATATTTGTGGAGCAGCTGCGCTTTGTACACTATAATCAACAACATCTTCCGGATGCTAAACATTTTAACTCCCCCTCACAGTCCCTTGGTGGCTGGGCCTCATCCAGTGCCACAATGACGCCACATGCAAACTGGAGAAACAACACCTCATATTCCACCTCAGGAGC